AGTGTGGCCAATGGGAGTAGGTTATGTACTCCACGACATATTTAAAAACATGGACTGGAGCATGTTTACCTCTCAGGTATGTTACTAAAACCACTGTTTAACTTTAAGTGTCTGTGTGGTAGTTGTCCACTTACTTTGATACCAATACAGATGCAGCATTTCTTGCACTGTCGCTCACAACTAGATAAGACTGTGGAAGAAAAAAATAGTGCGATTATTCATACTGTTTAAAAATACACAAACACATACTGTATTATGCAAATTTGAAAAAATTGACAAAAATCTTAAATGACAAGATTAAATCTAGTGCCAATATCACACTGCTGGATTTTCTTGTTAAGGAATCTCTGGTGGATCAGTTTGTACAGGAAGGCATATATATCATCAAAAAACAAGCCGCAACCACTACATAGCGACTCCCAAAGTGTGGGCCGGGACCCCCTGGCGGGATGCAAAGGTACTGTAGTAATAGAAATTCACTTTAAAATTACTCACAGGTATGTACAGTTAAATATTTCTATAAATTAGTTTATGTATATAAAAACAACATTAAAACTGGTAATATGAGATGGTTTACTCCTTATTCTGACCTAATTTCACTACTCTTGCACTGAAGTTTGTGTCTCAGTGGAAGGTGGGTCACACATTGGCCTTAGCACTTTACATATGACTGAGTAGCATTAGTTATCTATAACCAACAGCCTTTGTTATGTTTTTTAAATAAGTTTTTCAAGGAAACACATCCCTTTCTTTTTTATTTTGATTTGAGTTAAAATTTAAGACTAAGTGGGCCCCATGCGATTTTCTTTTTTAAGTAGGCCACAGCACTCTTGACTTTGGCAATGGCTGTGCCAAAACATAAAAACATCATATCACATTGGTATAACTAACCTTGGCAATAGCTAGAATGCGATCCATGATAGGCTCTCTAGCCTTACCACCATCTGACTCGAGGTGGCCATCCAGACGAGAAAGATCGAAGGGTATGAGGCAGGTCATAGACAGCCATAACAACAACATGTACCGAGTTTCCCAAGTCTGGAACAAGTAAATAAATAAAGATCAAAACAATATACACTATTGCCTATAGGTATATGTAACTGATGCATCAGTGTGAAGCTATTATTTTTCCCTTTAAACTAAAGCCTCACCTCAGAGTCACTGGGATCCTGTCTGGACATCAGGTCCAGAACTGGCTGGACATCGGCCACCTCATGAGGAAAAAGCTGCATGAAAATTTTATAGCCTCTGACCTAACCAGAAATAAACAAACAACGTGCAGGATTAGTGAATTTGCTGCATAAGACATGTGAGAGTGCAATCACCATTGCGGCTTTTATTCAGTGCAGTCAGGAGGTTTTTAATGAGAAAACTAACCTTGCAGATTACGTAGAGGAACTTGAAACACAAATGAACCAACGAAGGTGGAGACTTTTCACTCCTTATAAAGTCCAGTATCATATTTAACATCCATTCTAAAATTTAAAAAAGGAACAAAATAAGGAAGGAAGTGTTTTTATAAACTGAGTGATTTTACTTGTAAATTTGCTGTTGTAGTGTACCTAGATGAGGGTCCAGCAGATGAGGCTGCTCTTGATATCTGTTCATTATTACTGCAGGGAGAAATTAGCAGACCATCACGTCTCCAAACTAATCACTTAAAATTGCTTATCTTGGGGAAGCTGATTTAATTGTGACCGTCTCACCTAGGAACCTCTCTGTAGTAGACTCCCTTGGCCCCAGGTCTCCGTGGACCTCCGGCAGGCTGGAGATGAGGGCTGTGGTCTCGCCTCTCTCACTGAAGCTGCCCAGCACACAAGTCTGGACAATAGCGTCCGCCTCTCCTCCTCCTTCACCACCGGAAAACCCATTCTCCGTCTCCGATAGAGCCATTCTCGCAGGCCTTTAGCACGAGTATCTGTTGCAAGTTATGACAGGTTAGCTAGCTAATATTAGCATTTGTGCCAACAAATAAAAGTGGAAAAGTGGAAATTATTCCACGAAACTGGTGAATTTAATTAAAACATATACTGATAAGATGCGTAGGAGGTTCAGGGAGTATACGCGCGAAATATGGCAGCTCTCAAAATTACATAAACTTCACTGGACACAACTATTGTTGATGTCTATAAAGATGCAGCTAGCTGTTGTAGTCGTACCCCGCCCCGGTACGGCAAGCGAGATGGCTCACGTGGTTAACAGAGGCGGAAAGAAAAGTCCCAGGTCACGTGTTCTCTAGACCGTATTAATGCAGGGTATGTTTACTAACCTTTTACTAAACAGTTATTTGGGCTGCTGTGAAGTTGACCTAATAATGAAACATTTCTATCCAAATGGGAGTGTTTTTCTTTTCCATGCCTTCATTCACAGGGAATTAAGGTGTGTAAAGGTTTTCACACTAGATAAATAACAAATTCAGCAGGTCTGGAAAAACACAATGGATTCGCTTAGGATTTAATACTGGTTATACCATGCACAACAAGGGCTTGCAATGACTCACTGTTATACAGGGATATTTTGTAGGTGTAGTTAGTATGCCAACCTTTATTCCATTCATAGCCATTCTACTATAATGCAGATAAAATATAAAACATTGCATCCATAGTGAAAGTCAGATTCTGGTTTGTTCTACCTGCTTATAAAGGATTCCTCAATATTAACATAAATAAATAAAAAACAATAATTTTTAAGTTGAGTCATTGGTGTGTAGCACAGACTTCTGATTTGCAAGTTTTGTTTAATTTATGTCTATAAACAAACTACACTTAATTCACTGTAACACCTTGTGCAAAATACAGAATTTATTTGCAGATTCTGTTTTAAATATTAGGAAGCAGGTCAGTGTCAGATGAGCTGGCAGGATGCAACTGTTTTTGCTATGTTAGGTCATTATTTTCTACACAGTACAGAAGACATTAAAGTGTTAGATGTGTTGTTTAGTGTCTTCACACACTGTTTTTGGTCAAATAAGCAAAATCGCATAATACTTGAATTTAAGACTGCAATGCTTTCTAAGAGTGCCTGTGAGTGTGTTCATTTCAGCAGGGTCTTCATAACTCTTATGGAAGAACCTTTGTAACCACCACCAAAGTGGTTCCAGTGATTCAGGTAGTGGAAGAGTTGGTAAAGCTGGTTCCTCTTTGCAAATCCTGGTGCTTGGGGAATCTTGCTGTGGTATGCAGAGTAAAAAGAACTGTTGAAGCCACCAAACATCCCGGCAATACCCAACTCAAACTCAGAGTGGCCATAGAAGGAAGCAGGATCAAAGATGACTGGGCCGTCTGCACACTCTGCCACGTTTCCTCCCCATAAATCTCCATGTAGGAGAGCGGGGACTATCTCCACATCTTTGAAGAACTGAGGGATCTTCAACTGGAAATAAGAGACACAACATGCACATTACAATGCTGTTACAATCATAATGTCTTGTGCAAAATATGTTTAATTTCAAACAGGATCAAAGGGAGGTTGCACCTGTAACTCAGCCCATAGTTCTCTGGTCTCCCTGTCTCCATACGATTTCTCCACCATGTTAAGCTGGTGCTGTAGCCTCTGCTGGGTGTAGAATGGCACCCAATCACTCTGCCATTGATTGTCCTGGAGAGGTAAGAATGAGAAAAAACTGTGATGCTGCTGAAATTCACTTTAACATCTTGAAGATTTGGAGACCAAACATTTGTAACACAACTTAGAGACATCAATACTGTACACCTTCCCCTAGAATTCAGACACAGTATATAGACACGTATACATTGGCTTTACCTGTGGCAGATATCCACAGCATGTAGCTACAACGAAGCCAAATTTTTCAACAGCAGCCACATCTGACTGCCCCGCTCCTTTTCCTGCATATATAGCAGTAATATTAATAAACAGTAATCACAAACGTTTTACCTTAAATATGACACAGTTCATTATTATTCATTGGTGTGTGTGTGTGTGTGTGTGTATTATCCACATTGTGGCATCCTAAAATGAAGTTAAACTGAATTACCCACTGTCTGTTGCTCTTTATTTAATTTTTCCAGTTGTTTCTTGTTGTGAAGATGCAGATCTGCCATCTTCTCTCCTAGCTGTTTTGAGTACCTGCTCATTGTGTTTAAAAATAAAGTATGTCATTGAAAAAATATTTTGCTCAGTGTTTCTAAAACTAAATTCATCTGCCCAAATTCTGCTTTAAACTGCACTAAAGAGAAATAATGTAGTCAAGATCTCTCTTACTTGCTAAGACTGTTCATGTCCAGATGTTCCATCACAAATACAGAGCCTCCTGTGTCAAGCTCAATCACCTTTATGGGCTTGGGGACTTTCACAGTTTCTGTCTTTACAATAGCCTCCAGACTGGCCATTTCTCCATCAAACATCAGTTTGGCCTGGATAATTTAAAGACAGGACAACACGGTCTGGTAAACACAAGCTTCAGTAAATGTAAATTTTTGCATTGTTCTCCACTCCACAACATCTACACAAAGTCCACGGACAGTAGTGTGGTGCAGCTGCTGGATCATGTCCTATTCACTTAAGTCCCGAGTTGAACACACGCCGAAAGCCGATCATGAACTGAATGACACAGCAGTTAAAGAAAATGAAAAACTAACAATGACAAATACCTCACTCTTGTGATTTATCTTTACAAACACTTTCCCAGTGTCAGTATGATAACTCTGTCCCTCGCTGATGCATCCACCTCCAGCATGACCAGCTGATTTCAGCATGGTTGTCCCCAACTCCTTTTTTAACTTAGCTTCCATGATTATTTATCATCAGTTCCAGGACAGTTACAGCAGGACTAAAACCACCTACGCATCGCAAATGCGGGTATGAAAGTCTTTCTGACAGTTTCCGTTGCGGCAGCCAACCAGGACTTTGTCCCGAAGCAGGATCTTGTTTTTCTTCCGTTATGTAAATAATGATTGAGTAGTAGCCAATCATAAACAAGTTTGGGTTGATTGATTTCTACTTTGCCCAATAGTTGCGACGTTTGTCCGGTCACGTGAACGTCGCCATGGTGCCAAGTGAGGCTACAGCTATACGCTACGAGTTTAACTTTCCGTTCTGCGGAAAAACCGGCATGACCAGCAAAGAAATGTGTTTACTCCTCGGAGCGACCGGTGTTGGAAAGACGTTGTTGCTAAAACGTCTACAAAATATCCTTTGTGGCCATGTGAATTTCTTTGGCGTAAAAGGAAATACTACCAAATAGCTTAATTAGCTAACTAATTTAGCCTATGAGCTTGTGTAGTACTTAAGTTGCTAAGTAATGGACGACCAGGGTTTGTATATCGCCTTTCCCAATTGCCAAATGTCGATACCCAGTTTTATTTTATTTTGCATCGGTATGTGTACAAATTCATTTTCATAATAAGATCTGTAAGAGAGATTATTATTACAATATTTAAGCTATGGTAGCCCTTATTAGTCCAATAGTTTGGAAATTCACATTACAGCAGAAATTAGTGCTGGACCGTAATGTGAAATTGTCAGTGGTCAGAAAGTGGATAATAACAATAATAATTATAATTATATAAAACAATAGGAAACATGTACAAGATAGAAGAAGTATAATTTAAATGTGTGTACATATATGGCGCAGTGATAAAATAAAATAACATCTTTAGATGCCTAGAAGCAAAAAAAAAAACAGAGCCCTGAATGATGCTAATAGAAGATGGAGTGTTGAAAACAGTTGCACACTGTGATTTATCAGTCCCCAATGTGTGCATGTGTAAGTATACATGTGTTTTACTGCTGTGGCTCTGCTGGATGGAAAGACCTCCAATATTGCTCCTTTACACACCGTGGGTCCAGCAGCCTGACGCTGAAGAAGCTGCTCAGGGCTGTACGTGTGTCCTGCATGGGGTGGGACGTGTTTAGCTACCATGCTACCTGTCACTTACTACCTCCACTGGGTCAAGAGGGCATCATGTTGGCACTCTTGGTCTACCTGTTTCAATTCTTTTTGTCCCCAGTAGAGATACTGCTGCCCCAACAGACCAACACCATTACAGATAGCTGTTGGAACCACAGAGTCTTCAGGAGCTTCTCCTGCACTTCAAAAGTCCTTGGCAAACTTACCAGATACAGCCTGCTCTGTCCTTTTCTGTAAATAGCTTTTTTTTTTTATATATAGTCCACATTCTCCATTTCGTAAGTGGAGAAGGATATTTGTGCCTGTGGACGTTCACCACCAGCCCTTTGGTTTTTCCAGTATTTATCTGGAGGCCGTTCTCGTTCACATAGCTATTTCTGTATTTTTCCAGTTGCTTTATTCTAAAAATTATATTTCAGAGATTGAAAGGAAAGTGATCTGCAACAGCGCAAGTTAAACACTATCCTCCAGTTGCCTAGATTGCATGCATGCGGCCCATCGCATATAAACTTAGCCCAAATTGGTGGATTATTAATAAACTGTCATCTGAACAGATGACATGATCTCATTTGTGAGGTGACAAGTCAACAGTAGTCTCTCAGCTGTGACATCACCAACCTTACTCATAACAAATATTCAAGTTCTACTTTCATAGCTCATAAAATATTGCATAAACATTTCAAAATGTTTTTCTTTAAAGCTGATGGCAATGCTGTCTCCAGTCGATTTTCCTATCAGATTTCATTTACAGTTTATCGTACATGGTTTAGATGAATTAGGGACACCACCTTCAACTCTTCCCACAGTAAGTACTAATGGACAGTTCAAAGTCTCTGACACCTTATCCGTGTAAGTTCTCCATCTCCAGTCTTCATTTTTTGTAGGTAGGAACCAATCTGACAGATCTAACCGTAAAGAAGAAGAAGGTGACTGTGAGAGAGCTGGGAGGCTGCATGGGCCCTATATGGCCCAGTTACTTCAAAGACTGCTCCTCTGTCATTGTATGATCTTTGTATACATGCTGTTTATATTTGTAATATTCAATATGGGTTTACTAAATTGAAGTACTTGAGTAGATTTCTTTTGTTTACATTTCTCCATAGTTCATGGTGGATTCGGCCAACATTGCTCAGATATCCTCCTCCTGTATCCAGTTGCTGTCAGTACTCTCAGCTGAGCCTCTGAGCAAGGCCTCTGTGCTTATTCTCTTCAACAAGAGGTGACACTCGTAGAATACACATCAGTCTCTATTCGTGTTTTACCATATTGTACAGGATCTTTAGCAGGTTGAATGTAATTTGTATGTAATAAGGAAAGCTAATAATGGCACTAGGAAATTTTTGATTTTCTTTTCCAATTTTATATTTTCCCCCAGGGACATGCCTTGCACTATGAGCCTTATAGAGATAAAGTCACTGTTCAGGATGGATGACATTGTTGCATCTGCAACTCAGCCAATCACAACACTGGAAGTCAGTGCCAGATCTGGAGAGGGACTTAAAGAGGTGATGAGCTGGCTGGAGTCCGTCACAGTCAAGTGACATACGCTTACTGATTACTTCATTAGGTACACAATTACTCTTTCATGCAAATATCTAATCAGCTAATAACATGGCAGTAACTGAATTAGTTTAAGCATTGAAACATGGTAAAGATGATCTGCTGAACCGAGTTCTCTGGGTTCTCTGGCCTTGTTGTTGTAGATGGCCAGAGGAAAAGGAGACCAGAGGGGCTAAGAACAGGAAACAGGCTATAGTTTGCACAGGCTAACCAAAGTTAGACATCAAAGAATTGAAAAATGTTGCCTGGTCCAGTGAGTGTCAGTTTCTCCTGGGAATTTGGATGGTATTGTTACAATTTGGCATAAATAAAATGAAAGTATAGATCCACCCTGCCTTATATCAGAGGATCAGGCTGGTAGTGGTGTAATGGTGTGCCGGATATTTTCTTGGTACCCTGCACCCAGCAGGATAACGCAGTATGTCACAAAGCTCCAGTCATGAACTTGACAATCAGTTCACTGTACTCAAATGGCCTCAAGAGTCACCAGATCTCAATCCAGTGGAGCACCTTCAAAGTCTGGTGCAAACTCACACCATGGTTGTGCATATGACAGATCTGCAGCAAATACATAAGACTGTCAAGTCAGTGTGGACCAAAATCCAAGGAATGTTTCTAGCACCTAATAAAGTGGCCAGTGACTGTGTGTGCGTGTGTGTGTGTGTGCGTGTGTGTGCGTGCATGCGTGACAGTCTCTGTATTTTTATCTTATAATAGTGATACTGTTTATACAAAAAATGTTCTGCCTTTTGGTCTTTATCAGTTTATATGCTACTCTGTTGAGTTTTCATGGTGTGTTTCTCGTGTAAGAGTGTTTATCTTTGGTAGCACAAAGACATAACTGTACATTAGGCAGAGTGAAGAGGACGAAGTGATAGTATAACAGGATCAAATGATTGTCTCATTTGTAAAGGTCTTACTTTCATGCATTTGTTATTTGACGCAGAGTGGAAATCTGGGGTATTCCTGATTGATACTGTCACTTATAAGAGTTCCTGTTTTCTGTTATGGCTGTTTTCCATGGCTGTAAATCACATGAAGTCTGTCTGAAATTTAAAAAAAGCTCTTTCACTTCAGATTTAATATAAAAAAAATGAGTAACAACTCTTATAGAACTTTATGAAGATTTTACAGAATATTTTCTTATGTAAGGCATTCAGTATTTACCTTTGTATATGTTTTTTTCTTAATGAAATTTGGATTTTGTGTATGAACTTTGTTTTCAGTGTATGTGGATGTTATGTTGTTGTTATGTTTTAATTGAGAGGAGCAGTTTTTTGTGTTTCTTTTTTGGCTTATTGTCACTTTTTTCTGTTTATTCTGGTAGTGGTGTAATGTAAGAACAGGTAATGTTGCTGACTTCACTACCAGCAGGGGGCGCAAACTGCTTATGAGACAGTGATACTGAGTGTGTTCCTGAGTCGTCATGATTTCATGTGACATGTATTGATACCAAGGGAAATGAGTAAATGCAAGTGAATAAACCCATGTGAAGAACTGAGCAGTGTTGTAAATACACTCCTATATTTGGTGAAGTCAGTGGTTTGCAAGCAATGAATAAACTCATATTCATACATTTTCTAAGGTTACTTCATATGAATTATTTGCTCACAGTCCTCCCAAACTATTACTTCATTCGCCACTTGAATTTCATAATAGCAGACTGGTATACATTGATTTTTCCCCACCAGCTCTGTTCCAGCCATATACCAGTATGATGCAGTACTTCAAGCAGCGAACAGGTAGATGTGCACATACCGAGAATGTGTAATCAGCAGTGACCACCTAAACCTGTAATGCATCTTCCCTCTTACAGCTTAGTTTGTTGACAGCAAAATATTATCAGACCTTTTGTTTCTACGTTGTAGGGTATGACCTTGAAATTGTACTTGACACTTAGTAGTTAGATTTCTTTTTTTTCTTTTTTTTAAAAAAAAGGTGTTATCTCTGTTGTAGTCTGTTCATTAAAAGAGGAGCAGGATATGTTGCTGCAGTGAAGAGCAGATTCAGTTTGCGTCTACCTAAAGGTTATTGTGCATTACAAGAATATAAAAACAACTAAGAATAGGTTTTTCATACAAGTCCATTGGGCTGTAGTTTGGTGTGCAGTTAGAGCAATATTTCAAGAGGACAATTTAGTGAATTTCCATTTTTCTAAAATATTTTTTCCGGTTTAGTTTGTCCTCATAAGAAGGGGTTTTGACTGCTCTGTGCGGCCTGTGATCCCTGAGCACTTGCTGAAGAGAAAGGCAACAAGGGCTCAGGGAGCCTCACTGGCAAGTCCAGTCCAGGATGGGGGGGGTGAGTATGTGACGACGGGATGCTGGCACCCGGATGACTCGTAGGCAGGGGCAAGGAGGCACTGTATGGAAGAGAAGTGGCGTGGGGAGCCGTCGAGGCGGAGCCGGTGCCCATTTGATTTAGACTTAGTTTCGGCTGATCTGTTTGGAATGGATTGCTGGGTGAAGGAGCATTCAGGCCTATGTGAAAAGAAATAAAGAAGAGAAAAAGTCTGCTTTTACCACCTATTCAAAGTTTATTTTTTCTAAAACTGAGCCTTGAACCTGATGAGTCAATGACGGCTTTATGTCTCTCATGACGCTACAGTTTCAAGCACACACTGTTCCCAAAACTCATCTGAGATTTAAAAGGCAGGAGCAAAAAACTTTAATTCTCATTCACAAATCAACTGGAGAGTACAAAAAACAGATACCAGCAAGGAAAAATGGAAATATCTAGCACTCTGCACGTGGGGGTTTTACTGCAGTCGTTACATGGCAGCGGATTATCACTCGCCTGCATTTACCAGTACATGGCCCACACTGGTAAATGATTAACATTGCCAGGTGCTAGTTGTGCTCATCTTATGCACAACCAGCACCTGGCTGATTTAAATACAATGTTTCAACTACTCTGTATGTCCAATAAGAAAGTGCAATGACTGCACCTGCAGTCAATAATACAAAACATACCTGATAAAAACGGGTTCTTGTTCTTGGCTGATGGGTTTGCTGGGATCAAGCTGTCCAAGTTCACCAAGGAAGCTGCCGAAGGGTCCAGGAAGGACTCGGGTGTCCGGCATGTTCGAGAGTTGGGGTCATTCAGGCTTTCTCGAAGACGAGAAAGGTCAAAAAGCTCAGGGCTGTCCTCTCGCCCACTAGCCCCGTTCACCTGACCACCATCCATAGCGTCATCAAACAGATCAGTATCTGTCAGCAGAAAAGTAGAAAGACAAGTAAGACTGCAAGTGGAACCAGCGTACAAAAAGTAGAACAAGAATAGCAGATAGTGTATTGTTTACCTGAGGGACTTAGAGTTCGGGGAGCAGGTTCTGTAGGTGCTGATCTTCCTGAAGGCGCTGTGAACAGATCAGCTCCTGAGGAGGATAAAAACATGACAGAAATGCTATTTAACGTTCTGTGGAACATAGGTAGTTTTTAAGATATCCAGGTGGGTGACGTCTTTATTTTAGTTACCCTACTTGTAAGTGAAAACACTCACCTGTATTTGCAGGCAAAGGCCATACAGGACTGAGGCTGGAGACGTTGTCCTGTGGTGGATCCCAGGGGTTGGCTGGAGGTTCCCACGGTGGGGGAGGGCTGTTTGAAGGTGGAGGTACCATCCATGGAGAATCAGCTCTTGGAACGCGGCTGCCTTCTTAATTAACACACAAATTTAAGAGTCTGTTAGCCGGTGAGCAGTTCAAATTATTTTGTAGCTACAAAAAGCAAAGAGTTTCATGTAAAAAGAAAAAAAGATTCTTCATCTTCATACGATTCCATCTAAAATAATATACCATGACCAAGCCAACAAGCCAAGGCTCACCGAAAGAGTCCCAATGGTCTGTACCTCCAGCCCCAGCAGCTGCCTGGTGTGAGGCATTATTCCACCGATGGTCACTGTGGGGCAGATCTGTGGGTACTGCGAAAACATCTACCAGGTCCATAAAGGCCGTCTGACCAAATTCATCAAAGAAAAACAAAACCAGAAAAAGAAGTTTATATTTCAACATATATTTTGATAGTATTATTGAAGTTTTCATAGTCATATACTACTGCTTATGTTTCAAGCTTTCATACCCCGCCTTTTTTCTCCATTTCACGTTTGCTCTCGTCCAGAGCTTTCTGGAGCAGGGACTCATCTCCTTGGCGGCTGAGCTGCTCCTTTCAACAGATGAAAGACACACGTAAGCCTTTATGGGTCACATCACACTATATTTCTCACTCAGTGACGGTGCACAGGAAAAATAGATGGCTTGCATTTTTCCTATGCAACATATGTACACAGTTGGCAGAAACCAGAAAATTCCCTGGCCAAAGAGAGGACAGAAAGCAGAGCATCCCTGTGATCTCTAACAGAGCAGTTCTATTGTGTTACTATATAGGAGTGTAGACAGAGAGGGTAAAAAAGGGGGAGGAAAGAGACAAAGAGAGTGAGACAGGAAGCGGGGGTCCAAAGGTTGCAGAGATAATACAACAAAGTGAACGTTATACAACTTTTTCAAACAAGGCAAAGAAAAGGAAGCAGAAAGTGTGACAATAAGGGACTGTAAAGGTTGTATGGGGGAAAATATAATTTAAAAAAAATACAGAGAGAAAGGATGATTTAGGACAAGTGGCACTGATCATATAATGGCTTATGTTGTAACAGAGGACTGAAATTAAACAGGTAATATTCTCCTGAGCTGTTCAGGAAGCAAGTCCGAATTTACATTATAAATACAGTATTGTGCAAAAGTTGACCCACATTTAATTTCCTTATATATCACTGGGATATAAAGAAATAGGCAAAATAGTGATGTATTAATTTATGATTTATTTATTTAAGATGTGGAATAAGTTGGCTTGAAATACAGCATATACAGCAGCTTTCTTTCTCTCTTCTTTGGATGTTGGCTGTCTTTACTTCTGTTCTCTGTCAAGATGATCTCACACTGTTACGATAATGTTGAGGTGTGGGCTCTGTGGAGGTTAATTCATGACCAATAGTGTTCCCCTGTGTGTTTTCCTTTGCTGGATTTTTCCTGTTTCTTAACAGGTGCACCCTACCATTCGCCCTATGGCAGTTGGGATACGCTCCAGCCCACCCATGACTCTGAATTGGATAAGCAAAAGAAGATGGATGGATGACTTTCAGATGCTTTCCATTTCCTTTTTTAGTTCTTCTACTTCTTTTGTCCTCCACTTGTCTGATTTCCTTAAATTTATAATGAACACACCGCACACCATGCTGAGATATGGCGAGTTTTAGCTAATAGCTTTGTGGGAATCACATTGTTGGTGCAAAATGATTCTTTTTTGCTTGTCAAACCGTGTCATCTTTAGTACTTTTCATAGATTCAACTAAAGAAAATGGAAAAAAAACTTGATTTTTGTGACAGACTGGAAGTGCCAAAATATACCATTTACAATTGCTTCTTTGCTAAGTTGTCTGTGTTTACACAGCACTGATTCATCACTTGAGCAAGCTGCCTTTTTTTTTTTTTTTTTTGCTTAAATGATTGTTTTTCTAAGCCACGTAACACTACCAAAAAAAAAAAAAATCCTTTAATAATGAGTGGAAAAAACAGTCAATGTCCAAGGAAAAGCTTTGAAAGACCTCCAAAAAAATCTGGAGAATTATGGCTTAAGACAACTTCAAAAAATAAAACAGTTACAAGAAGTCTGGTTCAGTAGAAGCCAGAAATGAGGGGGTGGCTCAAGTCTTTTGCACAGCACTGTAATTCACACTGAAGTGACAAGTGTGGTCATCTGCACCTTCATTTTTTATAAATAACTTGTGAAAAATGTCACGACAGTTCTTACTGTCTATTTCAAAAGTGCTTAGGAAATGGTTCAAGTCCTCTCACCCACTCCCCAGGACACTCTACCTGCTGGTGCTCCTCCTTGCTCAAGCTCAGGGCCAACTGGAGCTGAGTTTCCTCGTCCATATCCAGGGCAGCAGCAGGAGCGCGTTGGACTGGCTGTGAAAGTGTAAACCAAGGAGGGATTTACAGTCAGCTTCCATTTTAACAGAAATAAAGTTGGGCATCCTCACAGTACTTCACAAGCAAATTTAACAGGTTTCCCAATCAATGTGAAGGAGCCAGTCCTTTGCCCTTCCCTGACACTACACCAGAAGGTCAGCAGCACCAGGTCAGAGCCTGAGATGTGTGTCTCATAGTGTACTCAGAGGAAACAACTTATGGTTAGTATAAGAAAAAACAAAGGATGAAACCACAATTGGTTAATTTTTTAGAGAAAGTTGCCTATTTCTTTGCTGTTCAAAAGTGAGTGAGTGAAGGGGGGATAGTTCAGTTGTAGGAAGGAGAGAAAGTGAGTAGGCATGCAGTTGCTTCTGTGAAGGAAAAACACTGGAATGTGATACTGGGTTAAATGTTTAAACCAAGGGACGAAAAAAAATGCAAAGGTAGCTGCATCCCTCCCAGTATACATGTACCTGGTGGGCCTCCTCTTTGCTGAGGCTCATAGCGATCTGGAGCTGGGTCTGCTCATCGATATCCACTCGAGGAGGTGGCTAGAGTTACACATGAGGGAATTGGAGGAAGGCAAATCAAAAAAATGGTAAAAAAGCATGCTT